TGGGGCCTCTGAGCTCTGCAATCAGACACTGCACAGCAGGACATTGTCTGTCCTTTGGAAAACTCCTTCATATATGGATTCTGGGCTAGTGTGAGCTACTTAGGACACAATCAGGGAGGAAGGAGTTTGAGATCTGATAAAAGCTATAGACTTTGTAGCTGCCTTTCTGTCCAGGGAGTGCGTCCAGCTCAAGGCGAACTCGTGGTGGGATCAGATCATTGCCCTCTTTCAAACATTTTGGCATTCTCAAAGCCTGATCTCCTAATATAGGACAGAAGAAAGATCCCTGTGGAAGGCTCTGTGCCCTAGATATAACTTATTTGGGTATCTTTGGTTTGTGAAACACATGGCTGATTGACGGGCCAAGACTATGAAGTCAACTTTGCTGAGCCATAAATAGCATCATTCAGCTTCTCTGAGTCCCCAGCAGATGTATTCATCAGGCACATGAGTCTCTCCAGGCATCAAAATTGACAGATTTCATTAACTTTCTGCAACCTGAGAATCCAGCTGTAATAGACAGCGTGGAGGAATCAGAGGAAGTGCAGGTTCTCAGCAAGACTGTGTTATCAGACAGTCCTGATTATACAGAGCCGCTAGGCAAGGACTGGCTTAGCAGTCACTGCTCTCCCTGGTACTGCTCTTAATGACTAATCCCCACAGCATCCTCCCTCACCTCTCTGAGCCTGGCAGTTTAACATCACAGCCAGCCTCCAGAGGGGAATTACGGGATGCAGTACAGCCATCCTTTCCAGCAACAGCTCTGCATCTCTCTCTTGTGTGTCAGCACAGGCCTGGCAAAATCCAGTTATTTCTGGTGCCCTTGCTATTGAAATCCTGCTGCTAGGTGCACCTGGCTGCTCAGGTGTCATGAAAACCAGGAAAGTTTCACATTCAGGGCACGAAAACCCTTAGCAGCCTTTTTAGAAAGGAGGAAAGAAAGAGGACTTCCTCCACTAAAGAATTATTTTTACTACTTCTTGTGCCTTGACCTGTGCTCACAAAGCCTGCCTTGTGATTTTTAAGTAATGAGGGATTCTCCTCCTTGCTCTTCACCCTGTCAGCTCGACTTCCCCTATTCTGTGTTGTGAATATCTGTTTCAGGGTTCTAGGTGAACAGGGACCTGTTGATTTTAAAATGCTGCTGTGCCTGCAGCTCCTGAGCACTGCCTGAGCTGAACACTACTGATGGGTGATGGGATCTGCAGGGCTGCCGGTTCTCCTGTGGCTTCTGGGACACATTCAGGGTGAGAGCAGTAGGCAAAACCTGGCAGATGACTCCTAACACACTGCCCTACTGTAAGGAGGAGGTTGGAAGAGAGATTGGTCCCATCATGAAGAAGGATTTACACTTTTTCCTTGTCCTCTCTCTAGAGAAAAGCAACAGAGAATATACCAGCAGCATTCCAGGGAACATGGCTCCCAGGATCACTACAGAAATACCTGTAAGGAGCAGTTATAAGATGCTATAGCAGGGTTCTAAAGTTTCATATTGTTCAGAAATTATGCTGTTTATTCTTGAGTGCCATCTACTGACAATTCCTGTCTTTATGATTTGCTTTCATTGATATTGCTTATTTTAAATGCCCTGTATAACTTCTGTTAGCTTAGATGTTCCTTATTCCTTGAGCACTTTATTTCCCCTGGGGACCAGGATGCCCTTGACATGATGTTATCTCTTGGACTTCCCTTTTTCCTTCCACCCATCACCAGGCTTCCTCCTTTCCCTGCCTGCTCCTGCTGCCTAGAGGGCAATTTCTGGCCTTCCCATGCTCACCCTTCTGGCTTCAAAATGTAGCTGCAGCTGTGCTGTCCCCCCTGAGCAGGAGCTTGCCTCTATCAGTGTGTTACAGCACTGCTGAGATCTTATTCCCCCATTTCCTTTCAGTCCTTCCTCTTCTTTCAAGACCTTTTTCAGCAACTTTCATGCAGTAACCTTGAAAATATTTAATGATCACTGACACCACTATATTATGTGTTCTAGGAGTATTTTATTTTAGTTATGTGATACTTGAATTAGCATTATTATTACAGTTTTTCATTTTCTATCTGTAAGATTTCCTCCCCCAGCAGTCCAATACATTTTGCAAAGATAAAAATAAATTAAAGGTGAAAAGTTATTGCCAAGGACAAGAGCTCAGGAAGTTTAGCCTACAAGATATTTCTTTCTCCATCAAAAACATAATCTGTATAGATAAAGAAAATTCCAGGTAGCTAACTCATTATAAGCAACTGAGAAAATGGGTCAAGAGACTTTTTTCTTATACACTCAGTTTTTGGCTTGGTTCCATCTCTGCCAGCTAGCCAAAGGAATGAAGAAAATTTTAGTAAAGTCTCCTAATGCATGGCACCGTGCCTCAGACAGCTCAGCACCACGGCCAGTGATACCCTGACATTCACCTGCCACTCAATCCCAGGCAGAAAACATCAAGCTGTAAAAGTGTAGACATTTCCACAACAGGCTTATACTGTGGAACTCCTTCCCAGAGGATTTTGCTGAGGTCAAAAACTGCAAGTAGGTTTAAAAAGGATTAGACAGATCCATGGTGGGCAGGTGTGATGTTTGCTATTAAGCATGACAGCCTGGCTCTAACATCTGTTCCAGAAAGCTCCATCCTGTGGAGCTGATGGCTTCAGGGGAATGCAGCAGGGAATCTGCTGTGCTGGGCTGACCCCAGTGGCTGCTGCCCATCCCTCCCATGGGCAGTGGCTACAGCAGCCAGGGGATGATTAAAAACAGCTCCAATCTGGACCAAGCCTTTGAATTCCCATGAAAATAGCACTTTGTCTTAAATGGTTATTCTCCACTGAGATCCCTGAATCTCCAGCAATAAAACTGGGATTGTCCCCCTGAACTCAACACCACAAAAAGAACAAGGTTAGGCCTTTCTGGGGTTCTTTCAGTAGAGACAGTTCTGCTGAAATGAGGGCTGAGGAGTATTTCAGTATTTGTTCCTGGATTTCTAAATCCATATTCTGCCTTTTGTGTAAACACACTTCCAAACTAATATTTGACTAATTTAGAAACTGCTTATCAGTAAGATGGCAAGTGTCACTTGCATCCCATTTCTTTTATTTTAATGACTAACAGCTTGTGCTGCAATTCATAATTCAGTCTCTTTCCTCCTTTCTTGAACCAGGCAGCAAAACCTGATCAGTGACAGAGATGATTCTTGTGAAATTGCTGCACAGGGGTTCCTCTCACTGAAGGGCTGACAAGCTACCAGCTGAGGAGAAAGCTTAATTGCATGGGTGATCAAAGGAGAATGTATGAGGCCAGGGAGACTGCAAGGGGGTGTGCGTAGGAGAGTGTTTTAATGAGAGATTATAGGGGAACATGTGAGTCTGGCACACACAAAATGACAGAAATGAATGCATGAGCCAGTACAAAATAGCATGCTAACCAAAGGCAGCCACAGATCAGCTTCAGCCCCTTCTCAGCCCTTGACTAAGAGAACTGCATTCTATTAGCTGTCATCCCACTAACCACACAAAGAGAAAAAAGTGAAGGTTTGATCTTTGCAACTAGGAAAAGAGGAGGAGGGGGGGAACCTCATGAGACAACAACATCCAGGCTGAACTGGAAAAGAGAGATCAAAGCAATGAGTGAACTGAGAAGGGACACAGGACACTGATACGGTGTCCTCCTGGGAATGGGATGAGTTGACGTAAAAAATGAGAATTTAAAAAGAATTGAAGGCACTTGCCAGCCCTTCCATGTGCTGTAACACACTGCACAGACAGAGGTTTGGTTCATGATGTATGCTGTGCTTTCTTCTATGCTTACTGTCTTACTTTATACTCAGCTGCACTTACATCAATGGGGGCACTAGAGGAGTAAGATGCCTCTTAATATCAAAACAGGTGCCATTAAAATGGCTTATGCACAATCTCACATCATTTTAGCACAAATCCATTAAAAACCTCATTACAGTTATATTGGCATAAACTTCTGTGCCAGTGTTCTCCCACTGATTTAAACTGCATCAATATAAACCCAGTTTCAATTGATTTAAGAGATTCTAGGCAGAAGTGCACTGCATTTGACAAACTAATGGGAGGACATACTCTTATTGAAATATTAAAACTTCTGCACTCGATCTTTTCATATTCAGCAGTGTGGCTTTTGAACTTTTGCCATTTTGTATTTTACAGGCCCTTACAGGGAGGGAAAATAAGTAACTTTGGAGCAGTCAGGTTAACAGCCTTTCGCTTCATCAGCTGAACCCGTGTACAACCACAGATGCCTTAAGCTTTAGTGTTTTATAAAGTTATAAGGACACAGGAGAAGCATAATGCTTTTTCTACTTACCCTACTCTGAACTCAAGCATATTAGTGGCTGACAACCCTTTTTTATTTTTTTCCTGTAAAAGGCATCTAGTCTTTAGTTGAGCACACCCCTTTTTTTGTAAAAATAATGAAAGCTCAGTATCTAAGATGCCACCCACTAGACCAGGTTGCTCCATTCAAACCTGGATTTCAACCCTTCCAGGGACAGGGCATCCACAGCAGCTCTGGGCAGCCTGTGCCAGAGCTTTGCCTCCCTCACCAGAAAGAATTTCTTCTGTATATCTAACCTAAATCCAGATGTTATTTAATCACTCTGAGCTCATGTTCCCCACTACAGCAGCTTTCTGGTCCACATGGTCAGTTTATGGCCAGCTTGAAGCAGCCTATTGTTACTGAAGTTTATCCAATATAACACTGGGAGAAGAAATGCAATACTGGCCTTGAAATGACACCATGTAATGTTAGAAACAAGATAAAAACTACTGCCCCTCATGTGCTGGCAGTGATAAATTATGCAGTTCTCTCCTTCCAGTCTTTCCCATCTGCAACAGCTACAATAGAACCTTAGTTCAAAAACAGTCCTTATTGAGCTCTGGAGCTGTCAGGCCACTCTCAGCTTTTGTGTGAGATTCCTGAAAAATAAATTTGACAATTTCTCTAAGCAAAATGCCTCTAACCATGTCTCCAGCCTGGTAACCATAGTACTTACATGCTTTGTGGAATTTGTGTTTCACATCAAGAATGGTAGATGCCGGAGGTACCTGGAAAAGAAAGCAAAATGCATGCAGATTAATTCTTCTTTCTTCTTTACTTTGGGGTCTTTCTCCACCCCTCCAATGAAGAGATGCTTAAATTTGTCTGCAAGTCCTTCAGGCTAAAATGAAAAAAAATCAGCAAATTTGTTTTCACAGGTTGGTATGTTATTAAGGATTGTCCAAATTTGAATTATACATCAACTGGACCACCTCTGCTTGGTCAATGGAGGGGTAAAATCACAAGGGTCAAGAGGGAAAGCTGCTGGCTCTGCTTGATGCAGTGATTGCCCCCTAGATCAAACCAGTGGGAAAACTTGCAGGGGGTTAAGCTTTAATGTTAGGTTCAAGCATGCTGAGGTCCATCTCCTGGGGACATGAACGGGTTCTCTGGAGGGGCAGTAGCAAAAGTGGTAGGTTCTGTCCTTTCTGCCTGAAATGAGTTTGCTTCTGCATGCTTTTTGTTCATGTGCACTGAGGCAATTCAGGTGTCACAGTTTTAGAGGACAGTCTGGAGGCTTTTTAGGCTCTATTTTATTTTGTAGATTGATTTCTTAATATATTTGGTACAAATTACCTGAGAAACACATTTAGAATTTACAAGAGCAAAATACTTGGATTTGCCTTTTGTTTACAAGGAAAGGCAGTGGGACTTTTGAGGAAGTAGCATGTTGAGCTACTCATTAGTGGATTGTGACAATAACCATGCAAAAAAATAAACAAAAGAAATTCTCCTAGTAGAGATCATTTAGCACCTTAATATAGGCTGTTTTGTTGAAAAGACTGAGTTTGGAGAATTACTGATGCAACAAAATAAAATTTTTTACTCTAAAGCAACAAATCAGTGCAGAAAGAAAAGTTTACTCTTATGTAATTTGACACCCCACACAAATATACAGTGTATGTGCGTTTAGTACTTATGAGTAACCCAACTTGCTTCCAGTAATATGAACAGGCAGAAACCTCAATACAGATATCAATGATCTAAAGATGTAAAATGACACCTGTGCTAAAAGGTAGTAAAGTATAGATATTTTCTATATTTTTTCTTGGATTTAGATGAGAACACTTTATTTTCCATAGTTACAGAGGGTTTCACTGAGCATTTACAGAAACTGCTGTAAATGAAACTCCACTTAAACCCTGACTTTTTTCTCTGATGTGGCTGCTAAGCAATGCCAGCATCACCCAAATCAAGGCCTAGGCTCCTTGAAACCAAGGATTATCCTTTTTCCCTGTCCCCAACACCTGTGCTGTCCCAAACCATGCTGAACTGTACTAGACCAGGCAAGAGACACTGCCCTTGGAGACCCTTTCCTTCCTAGCTACAGGAAACAATAGAAGAAGCCATTTTATCTTTCTTAGTTTAAAAAGGAAAGAAAATATTTTATCTGTGTTTTTTGCAGTTGAGCCATTCCATGCAACACCCAGTAGAACAGCACATCTCCCATAGTCTCTGTATTTTTCCTATCAGGTGTGCAACATTTGTGGACTTGGGGGAGTTATGCCCTCGAAACCTCTAAAAATGTCTGAAATTGCTTTCTCACTCTTTGTAATCTCACACCTGTGAGGCCTGGAGCCCAGAATCCACCAGGTATGAGCGCAAGCTGTTAGCTGGCAGCACTTATTCAGCATACAAGCCTGCAGACTGAAATCTGTCATGTGTCCTAGCACAGGCAGATGTGCAGGTACGCAGGGCTGGCACTGCCAGCTGAAGGACGGGGGATGGTTTTTTCCAGTTTGATGGAGGGATGAGCTGGCTCTCTAAATGCAGCATAAGCCACATTGCTGCAGGGTCTGCATCTCTACAGATCAGCACCTCACTGTGACAGGTTCTGGGATAGAGTAGCTAGGGCCAGCCCATGCTCTGGAGAGCTGATCAACCCATTTAGGCACAGAAAGCTGAAAAACTGTAAAGCTTAGCATGCTTAAAGAGCAGTGCTTGCTCAAAACAGAGCCAGGTCTCCATCTCCAGCTCTCCTGAGTATGTTTTGACTTCAGGGCAGAGCTGCCCTCAATCTGTTCAAAATGTCTAGCTGAGCCCTTGTTAGCAACTCTACCTATACATCCCTCTCCCTTTTTTCGTCCTGAGACAATCAGTCCTCTCTCCCCTCTAAATCCTGCTATGGCAGCAACGGGGCTCATATCACCTAACTTCAGCTATTTAAAAAATGAATCCAAGCTCATGTTTTAGGTCCCCTTGTGGCACCACCCACATGCCTCAGGTGTTTAGAAGCTACCAAGAGCTTGCAGTGTCCTGCTGCAGGTGAGTGTGCCCCTGGAGGGTGATGAGCAGCACCACGCAGCACTCCCAGCTGCAAGGGCTGCACATCCCTGAGTGAGGCAGAGCTCATTAGCAGGACCCTGCTGTGCCTGGCCACATCCAAGCTGCTTTGGGCCAGAGCTGCTTTAAGCCCTGCCAGCCCGTGGGCAGAGATGTGCTGGGCTGGATAGTCACAGTCTGGCAGTTCTGCTCGGCTCCACACAGGCTGCAGGGAGACTGGGAAGGCATGGAGCTCACATCCAGCCAGGAGGGCAGCAGGACACTTGTTTTATATGAGCCAGCTGCCTTCCAGAAGGACCCTTCCACTCAAGATAAACTACACGGGTTGCCAGCTGAAGAATAACACGAATACTTTCCCCCTTCAGAATGGGCTGTGACACAGAAGAATCACAGTGTCCTTTCCCAGGCAGAATAATGAGGTTATAGCCACAAAAGAATGAAATACATTTTTTTTATGATCTTGATAATTCTGTGTCCTTTTCTAAAGACCTCATAAAACAACAAGTGAAGTTATAGTTTCCAATATTGATCAAGGAGAAGATGGATGCTGAGACACCAGCTTACTACTAAGAGTGTCCTCTTCGTAGACCATTAATTATCTTTTGTTCTTTTCATTGTACATCAATACAAGGTAAGGGGTTGTAAGGACTGGGAAAGCATCTGCTCTTATTACCCTTTGTGCTAATTAAATAAAACACCCTGGAATATTTCACTGTAATTATTAGTCTTACTCTCCTTTCATTCTTTTGAATCATGTCTGAAAGTGTTATAACCCTTTCTTTCCTCTATTTCAGCACTTTACAAATATGCAAAGGCAAAGCAGAGTGAGAGACCACCCTTAGTTTGTTTAAAGCAAGATGGATTTCTGCTCTTATTTGGTATGTAATCTTCTACAATCTGATGGTCAAGCCAGCTTTTCCCTACAACTTCTTCACTTGTAGTCTAACACTGGATTTAAAGTGTAGACAACTTTCCAGTAAGTGACTATCATGTGTAAGGTTCAAGACTACTTTTTTTTTTTTTAAATGTAATGAATAAATGTATATTTTACAACTGTGGATTGCAGTCATTGCACTTTTCATTCAGAAAAATATTATTTCAAAATGTCAGATCCTGGTTTTCCTGTACTTTCACAGCCAGAAAACTTTTACTTTTCCATTTGAAGCAAATGGAAGCAAACTTTTCATTTACAGGAATTCCAGAATTAAAGGACCTTCTGGATCATCCATACCAGTTCTATTCTTCCTTCAGACACCAATGCACAAAGCACCACATTTCTTTTTAAGATTTAAAATACCATGTTAGTATTTTATACTAGGACTGAAGAGCACTAAAGTGGAGATATTAAGGGAACTTAACACTGCCTTTTGTGAGTGCAAGGTAATCAGATAGTTATCCACTTTCATATCTCTTTCACATTTGTAAGTGAAGGAGTTATGCCAAGTCAGGTGGTCTGTATGTAATTGCCTCACACAGTTCTTGCACTAAAGAATTATTGTAGGGGTCAGAGATCAGCAGAATATCAATAAGAATTTAAGTAATACAATTTCAGCAAATAAATAATCTTTCATTCAACATTTCTCCCTGAATACCTTTTTCTCTTTGTGACATGTCAGTACCACTGCACTGCTGAGTCGCCTACTTCGTAACAGGCATTTTCCATAATTGCAGAAATTCAGAAATTCTCCCACTCCAGTTGCTCGTTAACCACTGCCCCATCTTCAGCCAGAGTAAATTTGTTCAAAAGGGTGACATCAGTCTATTGCAGCTGAGGATCTGGCTGCAAGACAGATAACCAGCTAATGGGAAAGCCAGGTAATTTCCAAATTCAGCACTCAACAAGTATTTCATCATTACTGCTTTTGCATCCTGTCCTTGCTTTGGGACCATGCTGTATTATAAAAAACCAGCAACATTCCACAGAAAGTTAATTAGAAAAACATCTGTTCTAGCTGATCTGTGTGCTTTGTGAATTTGACTTCTACATCAGATTTGCTCCTTTTTATTGTCAGTTTTCAAAGTCAGAATTAAAAATAGGGCACTGTTTTGCTTTAACCTTTCCCAGAGTGTCCCACAGAGCTCTCTTGGTGAACCAGTGTGCTGGTCATGCCCAAGGAGATATAAATAAATGAGCTCACCATGGGCATGACGTGGAGGTACCCACACAGAGACAAGTGCTGTCAGCAGCTACACAGAAGCTTTATCTAGAGCCCAGTATTTTACCCAGCAGGCTGCAGTGAAGTGGCTACCAAACAGCCCAGCCCTTCCAGAAGCAGGAGATATTCCAAATTACGGCTTGGGATGAGGTTGCTTCCAGCACATGGACGTCAGCACAGGGCTGCCTCACTGAGCAATCTTCCAGATTATTTATTATCTGGTCACATGAACCTTGGCATATGAGATAATCTGACTGACTAATATTTCCAGTGATTATGGGCCAAATTAGCTAAGAATACACAGAGCCACATGCTTGCTGCGTGCAGTCATGTCAATTTACACCAGCCAAGTTTGTCTCTAAAGATGATTTATTGTTTTTGTGCTGCTAGCTGGGTATTTCTATTAAAAAAAAACCAAAAAAACAAAACAACTCTTTGCAAGAAACTGCCTGAAAAAGTGTCAGACACCAAAAAGAGCTTTTTCTCTCTCTGCCAAAGATGAGAGTGGAGGTAAAGAGAATGTGATTCATTAGCAGAGAGAAGGTGTGCAGAATTCAACATGCACACCTATTTCTGAGCAAATTTGACAAGACTGGTGCATCCCCTTGCCCTGTGACCTTTCATTAAGGGGAGCTGAGTAAGGTTATTGTTCACCTCAGCAGCTGAACAGCAGAACCTGTCAGGAAGCCTCTGTCACAACACTTTTCTACCAGGGAAATAGAATTTTTCTGGATGTGTAAATTTGTGTTGACTTCAAATGTTAAAAATTGAATAAAAATTTATAAAAAAATCTGCTTCTGGCCCATGCTGGAAAATCTTTTTTTGTGTTATATTCATTACTTTTTATTTCTCATCTGTATCGAACTTTCATTATTTCTGCATTATTTTATGACACATCTATCATGATAGTGCAAAATAATACAACACCTGGCTCTCATGTCATTGAAAATAATCCAATAGGAAATAATATGCAAATAAATGCACTATTAAGTTGTAAAATAAATTGAACTTGAAATATTTATTGTGTCATAACAGATTGAAATATTTCAAAACTAATTTGTAATGTAATCTTTCCCAAATTCTACCTCATCAAAAATTCAGGAGTCATTTTTTTCCACTGTCATTTTCAAAGAAAACAACATTTGGGATATGCACTTAAAACCAAAGTTGTTGACAAAAATAAAGTAATATAAATCACAAATAATAAAATAAACTTTAAAAAATTATAATATTTTATTAGAAATAAATATAGTGCTGCTTTATTGAACAAAGTGTAAATAATAAAGAATAATAAGCAGTAATTTTGGCCCATATTTCTCAGGAAGAAAGTGAAGCTTAGGGTGGTATTTATGTTTTTTGTTGGGATTTTGACTGCCAGTTCTAGCGCAGATAAAACATATGGCTGAGATATGAAACCTCTGAATTTGTCTTCCCTTTTCTATCAAACAGCTGTATAGATTTTTATTTGCTTTTTTATATCTACACACACTGCTAAAATTAAAAATCAAGAAGTGCACCCAAGAAACTCAACCAATATTTATCACAAGATGGTCACAATCTATTTGGGGGACTGCACAAAGTGAAAAAAAAAAAACCAAAAAAAAAACCCCAAAAAACAGCCCACCAACTCAGTGTTCAGTTGAGGGAAAAAAAAAAAAAAAAAAAACCCAAAAAAAAACCACACCAAAACAAACAAACAAAAGAAAAATAAACAAAAAAAAAAAAAGCAAAAAAAAAAAGCCAAAAGATCAACCAATTCAAAATAAAGTTCACAGAAGAATACATTTTGGCAAAACAAATGATTCTATGGGTAGGAGGGGTAATAAAGCAGGTCCATGGAGGGGAGTTGGAAGCTGAGAAGCAGCAGAAAGGAATGGGAAGTGAGGGTGATATATGAGAACAGCCAGGCAGCATCAGGTCTGTTAGAAATCCAAGTACTTTTCATTATTCAGTACCAAGTGCTTGCTGTGCTTCTGGTAGACGTCCTCTGATTGCCACAATTTGTTCTTTTGAAGCACAAGAAATGTAGCTGCTAAGGAAGAAAAGCTCACATTTTAAGGACTTTTTAAAATCCAAAATTGCTTAAACACAGGCAGATGCAACAATAGCATTAACATGTACTGCTGGGTATTTACAGACCCATGACTGCATGGCTCAGGTGCTTTGTGAAGCATCACACATTGGATTTCAGAAAGGACCTGAAGCATGTTCTGCTGGAGCAATAAATCATTTGTAGGAATATTTTAATGCTAATAATGCCTATAAGAGATGCCATTATGCACCTAACTCTCCATCATGAGCTCTGCTTTTAACTATTAGACCAATAAAACACCTACTGCTCCCTAAGGTCTTGTCTTGCTCCAGTGCCTTTATAATTTGCAATAATCTCTGAATTATCTCTGATGCAATAAGGCAAATGTGTTGCTGGGGTAAAATGTCATAACTTTGGTGGGAAAGAGGACATTTCCACACTGGCCGGGAATCTGTCTCCACAGATGCAGTTTTGGCAACATTCACTGCTCTGGTGGCACAGCTGGCTTTTGCTGCTGGCCAGAATGTTCAGGAGGAGTTGGAGCACCACCAGTGTCTCACAAATTCACTCTTGTTTTTGTTCAACTTTGAATGCAACTTTAATTTTTTTGAATATTTATTATGTTTGCTTCTTCATTTCTTCCCCCAGGCTTAGACTTTTTTATCTAAAATAAGAGATGTATAAAATCTGTCATTTAAAGGCACTTCTAAGCTTTGATTGGAATCAGCTGAAGCATTAGTCATCTGTTGCAGCTTCTGTAATTCTTTAAATTATCCCTTTGCAAATGCTAAATGCCCTAAAGTTACCAGCTTCTCCCCTCCCCAGTCTCTCTCTTGCAGAAAAATCAAAGGCCATTTCTCCAGGTATTCCATTTAAAAAGCCATCTCACAGCAAGCAAAAAGTAATATGTATAGTTACCTCTTTTCATCTGAAGCCATCCGTAGCTATATTGACATTAAAATTATGTGAATTTCTAGCAGAGCAGGAAGAAATAAGTGTAATGCATTGCTGCAACAGAATTTGAATATATTTACCTACTTCACCAAGTATAAGTAATAACTGAGGAAGAAAATACTACTGTCATCATTTCCAGCAGCTGGGCATAGGATCACTGCTTACAGGCAAGAAAAGGCACATATTTTATAAATGTATTTTTTCTCAGTGCCCCCCAGCAGCGGCCAGATCCCCATTGTGCTGGATGCTGTGAAAATGTGCAGTGAAAGACACAAGTCACCATGAAATCCTCCTTCCAAAAGGAAGTAAAAAAAGAGGATTTCCACAGCAATGAGCCTACATCCTGCTGGTTCTGTGTCTGTGTCCCTTCAGCCATTTTGCTGTGGGAATTGCTGCTATGTGGGACTCAGCATCTGTATCTCACTATGGAAGCCCCCTACTTGGGCACAGCTGGTTATTCAACCCCTTTTGGCATCTCTGGCATCAGAGGTGGCACACCATTAATGAGAGATTGCTAGAATGAGAAAAATTATTATAAAAATCCTCAGCATGAAATGAGACCTCTGTGGATGGTCACAGGTTCTGCTCGCTCTCCACAAAGAATATACAGTCCTCTGAAGTGAAATATTAGAAGTGAAAGAATTAGGGGAGGAAATACTTAAAATGGCCATGAAAGAAAGGACTTCTTTCCTTTCTTTCTAATGGGAAGAAGCTGACATTGGAGGCAATGTTCTGGTGCTGCAGAGAGTTCCTTTGCAGGGTTTCACTGCCTGCTTTAATGACTGCACTCGCTCACCTAACATGAATGTGGTATGTCTAACCTCCAAGCCATGATGTGAGGAGTTATTTTTATTTGCTAGAGCTGACTGTGCAAAAGAGATGACTGCTCTCCTCGGCTGCTCCCTTTCTGTGACAGAGCAGCAACCCACAGGCAAGAGCTAGAGATTTCTGATACCAGAGACAGCATTTCTGCATGCAAATGGCTTTGCTGATAATGCCAGTGGAAATCCATTGCATTATTAAGCTGTAGTATGCAGGTACAAGCACACTGCTGCTTCAGGTGCTTTCCAAACAAACAAACAAATCAAAACAAAACAGAAACAAACAAAAAGCTTGTAACTCCTTCAGAGAAAAACAGGCCTTTCAGAGCAATCAGAATAAGCCCTAATTCATCTCTGGCAAAAGATGCAGTGATATACACACTGCAATATTTAACTGCAAGAAGTGTTGAGTATGTACAAGTGACTGGGTTGATGCACAGTCTTGTGTGCAAGGGCATTTTAATTCCCTAAAAATAACAATATTCCCCTGACATTCATTGTGGGATTGCACAGCAAACAATGCCTACAGCTCACAAACATACAGCTAGAAGTTCCTCCAGTGTGTACTGTGAGCCATAAATGTTCAATTAGCCCTGACTGGGTTTTACAAAGACATTTCAGTGGCAGAAGGCACTGGGTGGAGGATGGAGAGCTGGCTAAAGGAACAGTAGGAAAATAGCCTTCATTATTTTTGCAATACATCAAGAAAGAGGCTCCTCCTGCACATCTGAAGAAGCAAGATCTCTTCTGCAGCCTTTGGAAGTGTTCTGAAAAAGGGTGGGGGTCACTGCACAGCAGCCAAAACCTGAGTTTGCACCTCTGTTTACAGCTTAACTTGCAAAATCGTGCAGCGCAAAACTACTGAGCTCTGAGGCTTTTGATGGGAAAAAGCTTTCTCTGCTAGTTTCTTCAGAGGTGATTTATTCTGTAAAAACTGTACTGTGTAACATTTCCTGCCCTAAAAGCAACTCATGCAAAGTTAATTACATTGCACTATGTTTGTGGGAAAATACATTTTACTACAAGTTAATTTGAAGAAAAAAATATTATACAATGAACGCTATAAAAGAAACAGTTATGAGTTGCTTTAACAGCGTTTGTAAATCAAATCACTGCACATCAATAACTTTAAAACCAACCTACATCAGGTTTTTGGAACAATGTATGAGGGAAACAGTTTTTGAGTAGCCATGTATTTTTCATAAGTTGTGGGTGGCAAAAAAAATGTGGGTTATTTGTTAAAAGTACAAAAAGGAATTGCTTTCATTTATAAGACTTGATGATTTTTGCATGTTCTGCTGTTTTCTGTGGCTTTTTGGGAGCAACACAGAAGCCAAAATCCTTAGACATTTTGTGATGTTTTTTAATTGAAAATATTTCTTTCAAGAAATCATTAATTACATGCTTTCCTCTTTACACAGAGATAGGAATTTCATCCATACAAATTAATAAATTGTGAGGAAAAAAAGGGACTTTTGATTATCCAGGTTCACTTGCTTTTTTACACTGACCAAAGAAGAGATTTATTCCTTGCTAAATTTCTTTCACTCATTGAGCAAGAAACATGTATGATTCATGTTTCAGCTACAGAATATCTTCACACAAATGCAGTATTGCTGTGCATGGTAAAGAGCTGAATGTTGGCCCACAAGACACTCAACTCTTGCTTACCAGCCCTTGACTGTCAAAATATAGGCCAAATTTCTTGGCTAAATTTTCCTAATTGTGGCTTTCAGGCACCAGCTCTTGTAAGGCCTTTGGCTGCTTGGGTAAGAGCCTTTCTGCTCAGAAACATCCTCTCCTGGATCTGCCTCTCTGGGGAGTGGGGAAAAAAGAAGGAAAACCCAGGGTGGTGTCCTGCAAAGTTGCCCAGACACCTGAACTCTTGTCCTGCCATGGGCAGCGTGTGGAGCAGCAGGCTGTCTGTACACCTCGTCAAAACTTCAGTGCCTTGTCCCAAGACACCGCCTCTGAGCATTTATACACTGCTTTTAAGGACAATTGTAGCCTAAGTTTAAATAACTTTCCCTACTTGGAGACTTCCCCTAGTTTGGGGACATTTTGTAGAATAACTGGGGGAAAAAAAAAAAACCTGAAGGTGGTTTGTGATTCCTCCCCTTCCTCCAAAATGAGACACCTCTTCTCCATGGCACATCACCTCAGAATTAATTTCAAGAGCAAATGTGGGGGGAAAGATCTCACACCGCTCTTATTTCTCTTCTAAATTCTTTAAGTAACTCACAGGAAAAGCTCATGTGCACAAAACTACTTGCATAATGTCAATAGCCATAGCAGAGAAAGTCCCCAGAGCAGGTTGACAATATTAAATAAAAGAAATTGTACTCCTATAAAGAATTTCATGTTCACAGCGTGCATGTGCAAAATAAGCTGCTACTGTTGCTGACTCGTGTGAATTTAAGTTTTGCAAGATTAGGTCATTTTCCTCCAAACCCAGCTCCTGCAGAAGATGACAAGGGGACCAAAATGTCTGGGATTTTTCTCTTTTTCTGCTTCCTTTCAGTATTTTTTCTGCCTTTCCTGTTGTGGAAAAGCCTGCAATATGGTGCGAGTGTGTTTTAAAGGCTTAAAAAACAAATACGTATTTATTCTGTTCCTTGAAGTTAAAGACATCCAAGAACTTATAATAACCACTTAATATATGTGACTGATTCTTCAAAAAAATATAAGATAGGAAAGAAAACTAAAGGAAATAATGCTATTTTTTCTTTTTTAAATAGAGAATTAATTCAGAGAATTAATTTGTGCTGGATTCAAAACTTTTGGATTGATGCCAACTGATTCTCAAGATGACACAGCCAAACACACCTTTTATAAATTCCTAATACTGCACTGAGGACAGGAAAATATTTCTTGCTAAATACCAGAAGTATTAAATGTACCATAATTTTGCAGACTTTACAGAACTCCCAGTAATGTGAATGGGATTCACAGGCACATGCAAGGATCTCAGAGAAACTCAAGCTCTTGGAAGCAGCCCCTGGTGTTTAACCACAGAGCCTTAAGCACTGAGTCACTCTGCCTGAGTTTCTGTTAGGTGGAGAAAGAAAGGGTTCTTCTTTCTGCCATTATAATACAATTTTTCCCTTTAGATTTATTAATCTGAGAATATTACAAATTCATTTGCTAAATTATAATGTTTTGAACCACTAGCAATATGCAATAAGAGTCTAAATACATGCATTTTAAAATCTATGGTTCCTGTTCTCTCCTCTTCTGGCAAGCAGTAATTACATGCAAACCCAAGAAATTAAGTTAATCATAACCATCTCACAAACAGGAAACAGGCATTAGAAGTGTCCTGTTGGGCCTGTACCGGTTATATTTAATTAAACAGAAAATGATGCATAATCCAGTACACCAGTCTCTGGTTTGCTCTTACAACCAACTGAAATTAAGTACACCAATGCTAACTAGTGTTCATGGAAGCAAGGAACTCAACTTCTGAAACTTCAGGGTTGGCTTAGAGATTATCACAGCAAATAAAGTGACTTAAACAGCCAGGTGAATGAGCATTCAGAAACCAAATTCTTTAGGCAGTCTTGGAAATCTCAGCCTTGCACTGTACCTGTACCAATTCCTTGATACTGTGCCAAAAATATTGTTTTAAAAAACCCATACTGCTGGCCATGTAAATTGAACATATATTTCTGTTTCTGCAGCTGTTATAGCTACCCTGTGTGTATTTTACCTCTGAATAAAGAGTACTTAGCAATTACCACTCATGTCTCTCTTTTCACCTTACAGGGGCAGAGTCCATGGTTTGGAGCAGGTGTAGAAAATCTTCAGGGTCAGAAAAACTGAGAATAAAGATTAAAACACAGATCTGGTATCATCCCAGCAGCATGGAAGGATTCCTGAAACGTGGCTCTCTGCCTAATGCTATTTCTGTACTATACTACGATAGTACACATATTTTAATGACATTATAGGAAAGCCCAAGATAAGAAACAGATTTGTCTTCCTTTTGATCAAAACCTAATTCTAAATGTATGTAGATAAAGTAACAACTGTGTAAATATCACTCAATAAAGCAATGTGAACACTACCATCAAAATTGTTATTAATAGTCATGCTATGTGTTTGACCATTTTGTGCATGTTTCTTCTTTGGCTAGGTTAGAAAAAATAGTAAAAAATATTTTGCCCCATGAATAATTAACAAAGGAGACATTTACCTTTAACTAGGGACACAAATTGCAAAAACACCCTTTAAATTACCAAGAGCACTGGAAATCTGGGAGTATTCCACCCTGCATATTTCGAAGGCATGAAATTAAACATTTGAAGCAAACTTATCTACCTGTTCCAGCTGTTGCCAATGAGGATAAGGGAATTTTTTTTTCTAGAAAAACAGTAATTCCTAAAACACCACTAATTTACTGAAAATTCCATAGGCTAAATAGATTGGGATTCCCATTTTCAAGGCATGAAAGAGACCAACTCTTTCACTGAGGGACAATGACTCATGCAAACTGTGATGAAAATATTAATGAAGCGTTTTTAGCTGTTATTTATGAGTTCACAAACTTCCATTCTACCCAGTCTTCTCATCCTATTTATGTAATTTGGCTGTAGTTTATATTTTACTCACATTATTAAAACAAACAAACAAACCAAACAAAAATTCAAAACACCTCTTTTAGCTAAGACTATTTTGTTTTAAATGAAAATTTGTTTAAATTGCCAGGTCCCATCTAATAAGCAGGGCACAGCTGAGTACATTTAGGTACCAGCAAGTACTCATAGCATTGCAGAGATGGGAGGCTTTACAAATGCATTAAAAATGAGTATCCATTCTGAAACAAATGTTTAAGTATCGTGCTCTGAAATAGACACTGTGATCTAATTGTCAAGAGTCAGTCCAGGGACGGAACTTTGAGCCCACAGAGCTGCCAAGAGGTCTAAAACAAACCAGTGTAGGATTATTTGTAAAAGTCCTGGAGAAGAGCAGCCCAGGGTTATGACTCACAAGGAATTCTTAGTGACTCCCAGAGAAAGGAATGAAAGTACTTCCACTGCAGAACAAGACCACAGCACGCCGACAGCAGAGCAGCACCATGCGAGCCAGGCGCAGCCCCAGCGCGCTGGGATAACGCACTCACCTTGTCCACAATGCAGATCTGCTTCTTGCTCTGCACATCAACAATCTCTACTTCGAAGTAGGTGATTTTTGAATGCTTGAGCGCCGGCGATGGTTTGATCTGGCCAGCAGAGAGCACCAGCTGGGACAGGTTGAAGAAGGAGTGAGAGTCATTGTGAGCCATGGGCAGAGCTGCTCCATGGGCTGCGGGGTCCCGGCTCTGCCTCTGGAGCATGCTGAGCCCCGGCAGCAGCGATCCTCATATCAGCAGGGGACAGTTCCAGGGGGAAATGTGTCCTCCCTGCTGCAGTTAAATACAGCCACAGAGCGGCCAGACACAAAAGGTCAAGTGGCATTCCATCTGAAGTGTGCTGGCTTATTTAGCAGGAGTGAAAACAATGGCTCTGTAATCCTTGTCTATATTTAATCTGCTAGTGTGATGTCCTGTGTTGATGCTGCTGCTGCTGCTTTCTTATTTTCTTTTTTTTTTTTTCATTTTATTTAAACCAGCGTTTGAAACAAGACATCTGAAATTCCCTATTAGCAGATTGCAGATCCTGAAATCCCAGAGTCCCAGAGGAGCAACTAGAAATGAATGTAGTAAATTCCACTGTTACCTACAGAGACAGATGTTTAAAATGTCCATGCACACACACATGTATAGGTATAAATGTCACTTGTTCTAGAATAATCATCATCAGATGCCATCTATTCTAGAAATATCTACTAACAAAATAGCATGAGCAAAATCATGCTCATCAGCAAAATTTAGGGGATACTTGCAAATATCTACTTGGCTTTAACACTATGGATTTTCTGGTATTTAACAGGGTAGAGCTTTCCTTACAGTTCTGCCAGGGGAAAATCAACTGAAGAAATGGAAATTATAACCTTAAAGGCATTCATTCAGGGCTTGGATCATTTCACTACTTTCTTATTCTTTCCTGACAATTTTTACAATACAAGTCTACAACAAAACAAAAGCAGCTTTAATGGTAAGAATAAAGACTACATAAAACAACAATTTTTCTCTGAAGCAGCTTCCCCAAGCTTTGTTTAAACTTCATTTCTCCATGTATGGCTTTTTAATAGGATTTAACAGAACTAGCAGCACTTTTCCATCCCGAAATTCTCCCTAAATTTCCCTGGGCTCCCTAGGATTACAGTGTTAGAAGGGCACCATGAGTTTCTGCAGACAGCTCTTTCCGCAGAGTAAATTCCGAATACATTTCTCCATGGTAAAATCCAGGGAAAACTACAATCACTATTACAAAAATCATACGGGTTTGCTACACTGAGGAAATTATTTAAGTGAGAAAAAGCTTCCACAAAGTAAAAGTCACCACACAATTAATCCTCACTATGGGGATGCAGGGTGGAAACAGAACAGGTCTCTTTTCTCTAATTCTGCTATAACTTAGAGAAAGTGTAGTGGTTCTTTAGCCATAGTTCTGACTAAAGGAGCTAACCCCAACTCATAGCTAAAATGCTTTATGCCCACATGACATAACAAATTTTGAAGCAGCCTAGACTGAGAGAAAAGCCCCCACTGCTTGGTGATGCAGTCAAAGAACCCCGTGAATGCCTTCACTGGATTTGTTAATGGAAAGCCCTGACTGGGGGAATGCACATGCACAACAATATCCATCCCCTACTACAAAAAAACAAAACAAAACAAAACAAAAAAACCAGCAGAATTTTGACTATACTGAAATCAGTTAGTGTCTTGGCATTGGCGCAGAGCAAGTCAGCATCTACAGGAAAAAAGCAGTTAGACTTGATTATATCATATGAAAAATTTCACCTGTCTCTGAGGTTAAAGAAAAGGGGTTCAAGGAACCATCACCTTGGTGGAGTCAATACAGCAGGGAGAAATTTTGGTATAAGCTAGTCACAGCAGGGAGAATGGCAAATTATTGTCTTACTGTAAGGGGCTTGCTAAAAACAGCCACCTAAAGACCACAGAACACACAGGTCCTAAAATCCAAGTGTGAGATACACTCAGATGTATGTGCTACTCTAAAGAATCTGTACAAACTGCTGTACAAGGGATGAGACAAACTGATACAATATCCCCTTTTAGCCGTAAGATTTATATGAATAAGTGAGCTGTAATAGCATATATTAATAAATTTCTAAATTTATTTCAATTCAAAACCCATAAAGAATAATATTGATCATCAAGGCTAATTTCTGTGTATATAAAGGAACTGGTGTTACAGTCATTACTGCAAGTATATTTATAACACTTAAAATGATAACATCTGAGCTGCTGCTGCTGCTGAGAAAAAAAGCTTTTGATTTACTGCAGACATTTAAATGATCAGAATTTTATTACTGACCAATGAATGCTTGAATATCTGAATCAGTTCCAGGAAAATGCTTACAAAAATATACTCCTATTTTTTGCAGTCCAAGCTAATCATTTGCAATTTTAATATTTTGATGAACAACCATCTTTACAGACCCAAACACTTTGGTGACATTAAGTAGGAGAGCTTCCCTAAAGGTGGCTGGCTCTTTTCCTCCCTCTATTTTATTATGGATTTAGGATCAGACTGCAGCAAATGCAATGCTTGCATGTAAGGTGGATGAGAGCTACACTACCAAAAATAATCAGGGATAGAGTTACCAGTGATAACCCAAGCTCAAAAAGGGAAATGAATAAAAGCTGTGATGGTTTCGCCATTATTGTAACAAGTGCTGCACTTTCTTGAAATGGCATCAATGGGTTTGGATGTTCCAGCTCAGTGTGAAGCCATCCAGCCCATTCTGTGTGGAAGGGAAACATTAATTACTGGACAGAATGCACATCTTTCCTTTCAATGCCATTATTGTGGCTCATCTCAGCCCTCAGCATTGGAGATGAGCAGTCCCAGCTCATGGGGACAACTGATCAGCCCTGTGATGAGATTTATTGATCCTCATTACACATCCATAAGGTGCTGCCCCCAGGGCTGTGGCAGGGCTAGCAGCCAGCAGCCACCCAGCCCCTGACCTCAGCTTCATTCTGGGACTCTGAGAGGAGTCAAAGAGCACTCAGCAAGAATTAAATCATCTCTGACAGCTTCAACTCACACTGAAGTTCAGGCCATATAAGGGGCTGATATTTTGGAGGGGCCACAAGAATGGGCATCACTCTTCTCAAAGTGTGGCTCTGCCTCCTCTCCTCCCTTAGCACTCAGCTCACATGAGCTGTTTTGGAGACAGGCAGGCACTTGGTTAAGCCTTCCTTCCAAAATGCACTTTTTCAAGGAGGCAGAGAATGCCTGCCCTGAAATCACACAGCCTGGCCATCATCTCTGGTTAATAGAAATGCTGATATTTTCAGAAAAAAAAGTTACACCTGTACAGGATTTTTTTCACCCTTGTAATCAATATCTGGAAGCAAGCATCAACCTGTGCTGGTCATGACAAAATAGGCAACAAACCACTGGTCAGGGGCTAAGACTTAACATTCAGTTTCTGCTTTTGACATTGATTTCCTGTGAGGGGTTGGGGATCTGCTGTTTTCCTGCTTTTCCCTTCCTATTCCACATGGCACCCCTGTGTGAGGCTCTCTTGCACTGTGCATTTTGGAGACAGCCTGGCACAAAGGGATTTCAAAAGATCCCAGCTGGGGCCTTAAGGCGCTTCTGAAGTTCCTTTTCATCTCTGGTGATGTTTTGAGCTCCTCCTTCCCCAGTGAATTGGCCATCTCCTTTCAGCCTGCAGAATATCAGCAGCTAAGTCAGCAGCAGAGGGTCACCTCTGTCAGCCCAGATGCTTGTCAGCAGCCCCTCACATGGCACCTTTTTATCCCACACATTTGGAATGCTTGGCAGGACCGGGGTTATTCCTTTCCCACAGACAGACACACAACTCCAGAGCCCAGAGTATGTGGGGTTCAGAACCACAGGTCATGAAATCTAAAACAAAGCAGATTGGCAAGGTCACACTTACCTCAGTGTGCCATTTTTGGAGATTGTGCCATTTGTCTTGCTGGGGAGGGAGATCTGCACTTGTGTGTTCACATGGCCCTTGGGCTCACACCTTTCCCAGCAGCTGTGCAGCTCTTGCACCTGGAATTGTGCTCGATCTAACCACACTGTGAACATCTCCCTGTTAGATTTCATGTTCTAAGGGCCAGGCAGGGGTGTGGAGCTGCTCTTCCAGTGCCTTTTTATTGAGCTGTCCAAGGCAGGATTTAAGAACCTGATCTAATTTGCTTATTTGGAAGAACACTGACAATAATTTGTGTGTCTGGCTTCTGGCTTCATCTGGCAGAGAGCTTAGGAATAGATTTACCAGATTACTTGGGGGGCTACTGCATTTAAATTTCTGGTTTGATTCTGCTACTCATAGCAATTAAACAACAACTAGAATGTATTTGTGAAGCATTGCAGAAACACAATTTAGGCATGAGCCTGCCTGATAGGGGAAAAAAAAAATACCAACAAAAACCACTGTACATGAACCTCTGGCATTTATTTGCCTGCACACTCCTACCTCAGAAGTCATAGAATCAATTTAAAACATTCTATCTACATGCTTGCACACAAAAATGCACTTAGATGCAGCTCCACAGAATTCCTAGTAAAACAACTCAGGAAATTTCATTTTCTCTCTTGAAGCTGTCTCTTAATTAAGTAGTGGACAAGAGAAAGGCACAGAAGGAGAGTGTCCTGACTAACACTAAACAATCCTAAAGCTATTTTAAATAATGCTGAAGTCAGGACTAAACCCCACCAGCCAGGGGCCAGGGTAAAAGTGATATACACCCATGTTCCTCCTCTCCAGCTGCACTGGCAGGGCTCCTCAGCCCAGATGACAACCTTGCTGACCCTGTGAGCTGTGCAATGGAAACATTGCATGGCCACAAGCCACAAGCCTCAGGCCACATCCTTCAGAGGCTGTGAGAAGGGAGAGTCAAAGGAGCAGCCCTGGGATCTCCAGTGCCCACCTTGCCCCTGCAGGAGCTTTTACCACTGACCAGACCAGTGACATTTTGTCAGCTATTTAAAATCTCACTGTAGTAGCCTGGTTTTATCCTCCTGGCTTTGAAAACTGAAAATATTGACTTTAAACTTTGGTGTGGGTGGTACCAATTAGAAGCAAATTCACAGCACAAATCAAATTCAAAGGCAGTGTTTGTTTTATCCCCCACAGACATCCACGAGAGACACAAGGGAAATAAGCAAAGTTGAAATACAGGATAGTAATTCTATCTGCAAGCAGAACACAGTGAAAC